CCTTCTGTGGAGAGGGTAAGGATTATAATTATTTTTATACAACAAGCAACAGATTGCACTGCATGCAGCTCTCATGATTTTTGAAATGTTGCTTAGAATATTACCTTGTACGCAACCAATGTAAGCAGACTGCAAGTTTAATAAACACAATTTTGTGTCCTATGCTTCAATTGAGACTTATGGGAATGTTCTCAGTTAACATCTACACTATCTCTTTGAAAGGGATAACAGTCATTTTAAGTGACTAGGTAGTAATGCAGAAAATTATAAGATTGAAACAGAAGGCACAGTTTCATGTACATTTAACAAATTGCTTACCCTATCTCCTTTCACACCACTAAGGCCGCGTCTACCAGGAGCACCTGATGGGCCCTAAAAGGTTTATAAGATTGACATGTCAAGGTGCTGACTGAAAAACATTTTCAAGCCTGAACAATGTCCTGTAACAAACTGTAACTGTGATGTACATGTAGACTACTAACCTGAACATCATTCCCACTTAACCCTCCCCCTCCTCCTCCATGCCTGCTACATGAGCTTGCATGATTAGGCTTATTAAAATTAATTGCAAATAATTTAAATTAACACAATAACTTCATCTTTTATGGTACTTTAATCTGTAATTTGAATTTCTTCAAAACTAGAGTTACCCAAAACAAACTTCACTTTGTTTGTCAGACAATCTGAAGAGGACAGAATCCACTTAAAGGGGCTCAGTCACGGTATTTTGAGTTATTTGGGCAACATTCAAAATTACCTTTAAATGGTAGGAAACCTGAAAATAACAGTTTAATAAGATAGAAAAACACCAATGAGATAATGATAAACCATAAAGGCACAAGGATGGCCAAGGATGGAGAAGATTAACACGGATTGCACATGACAAATTTTAAAAAATTGAGGCTAAACTTTTCAACATGCACAAACCGTGACTGAGCTCCTTTAAGCCTCACAACAAAATCCACTAAGCCCCCACTTTCTTTGCATGCTACATACCCTTACCATGTACATTTACATGTTATGTTCTAAATAATGTAATGCATGTAATGGTGTGATTTGTACTAAATGGTACAATTATACCATGTATCAGATGTACTTTCTATATCTCCCAAACAATGCTATACAAACAATGGTACATGTCTACTGCATGTGTGGAATGTGTTCAATAAATGGAACTAATTCACACAATCGTACCCAAATAACATTTAGTTAGTCATAATTGTACACATTTGTACAATGCACGTGCAGATATTTGTTTAATCTAAACCGCTTATATTATAACACAGGCCAACCAACAGATACACAGGAATCCCAGAGTAGTGTGCTGAAACCATATGTGATAAATAACTCAAGATAGATTAACTATTAAAGATAATTGGAATATAAAATATAAATGTTACCGGTTCTCCGGGAGGCCCAGGGTCACCACTTTCTCCTGGAGGACCAGGCAAACCCTGGGTATAGAATTAAAAACACATGACAAGTTAAACGTCAATCAGGCCAGCTCAGTGGTAAAAGTTTATGTGTATACCAGCCAACATAGAGCAAATAAATTTTTGCAGTTTGTTCCATTCTCAAGGTTCCCCTTGGCTTTGCCTGAGAGAACATGGGTCTCGGGATAACAAAACTCACTGTTTCCCTTGGGGCCAGTCATTGAGTGCTTCATAAGTAATGAAGATGTGTAATGCGAGCAGCAAAGATGAAACATCCCCTTCTTTTCCTCCTGAACATGTCCCAGCTGGGACAACTCCTCTCACTCTCTCACAGTGCACCACTCTAACTCAGTCTCTGTTATAACTATAATTACTCATTAAGTGCCTGCTCACCACGTCGGGATCATCACCTTGTAGTGCATGGTGGGGTGACTTGCATGTCTCAGTGACCCCTCAAGCTATGCTGCAGGGAGTTCTAAACTCCTGCTAGGGTCACCCATGCCAGATAAAGGCTGAAGGGTGGAGGTCAGACAAAGAGCAATCCCCTAATCCTCTTGGTTGGGAGTTGGATGTAAGGCCAGCAACCTTACCCTATAAAAAAATTGTATGCCAGAAACCGAAACCAGTATAGCAGATGTGGATCAGAGTGGGGCAGGCCACCCCTCAAGGACAAGAATGAATTGTCGAAGCCTTCAAGTCAAACCCGACTGGGCACCCAAAGGCCAATCACCCAAGTCCGTAACAAGGATTGACTGTTGGAATGTGAGGACTCTATTCCAGGTATGAAAACTTGCCCAGCTGACAAGCGGACTGAAGAGATACAGAATAACAACATGAAGTGGTCAATGCTGCAGAAGTTGAAATGAGTGGCCTGTACTCCTGGGGAACAGCCAAAGCATTCCATGTCCAACAAAATCACTTTTGGGTGCTAAAAATGTACCAGAAGGCACCTCATGATCAAGGCACCCAGATTTTCAAAATCTTTTAGAGCCAGCTTTACCCATCTCTCTCAGGTATAAGGCGTAACCCACTCCTGCCAGCACTCTTCCCCACATGGCCACCTTAAATGTGGCCCAAATGTATTATATTGCCTTCTTTATGATTTCCTCCTCCTACTGTATTTAAATTTGAAAATCCTGATTTGTGCTATACA